TACACACACATGAACACACACACACTCACACAAACCACACATACTTACACATATATACATATATACCACACTTTCACACACCACATACACTCTCTCACACACTTAAATACCACACACACATTCACACACCACAAACACTCATACACCACACACACTACACACATGCATGCACACACTCACTCACACCACATACATTCACACATACAACAAACACATACACCACACACTCACACACACTTACACACCCCACATACACTTGCACACACCCCACATGCATACCACACGTCCCATATACACTCACACACACTCGCATACCACACACATATTCATATACACCACAAACACACACAAGCAAGAGAACGGGGGTGGGGGGAAGGGGAGTGCTCCCCCAGCATACTGAGGAGAAATGCACTTTCAGTTTTTGGCATCAATATTTCTAAGAGGAAAAAGGGACTTGATTTGCACATGAGTCAGAATCCAGAGCAGTGTAGTAACCGTGTCCAGCCTGCAGTCTTCATCCAACATGCTTGGTATTTCCATCCCATCTTTAAAGATGAAGGTACAGAGGGGGAACATGATCCTAGAAATCTTGGTCCCCAAGGCCTATGTCCTTCTCACCACGTTACCATTCCTGCACCCATGTTTAGAGGTCCCTGAGCCCAGTGTTTGCAGAAAGTAGTCTCAAAAAAAAAAAAAATTCAGGGGCAGGGATAGAGAGACAGCTTACTGTTCAGCAGTTAGGAACACTTGCTGAAGTCCAGCATCTAATTAGTGGTTCATAACTGCCTACAACACCCATCCCATGCGATCCAACACCCTCTTCTGGACACCATGGGTACCAGACACATATGTGGTGTGCATACATACATGTAGCCACTCACACATACACACAAAAGATAGTTTTAACTCCCCACCCCCGAGGGGCAAACAGGTCAGTGAGCAAAAGCTGAATGGATGAAGGTGTGAGAGGGATCTACCTGTCCCTCCACAGCTGCCAACAACTTTCAGTGTTAGCCTGTTGCCAAGACCAGGGTAAGGCCAAGCCACACAACCCAGCTGAGAGCTACCCAGATACACTCCTGATCTGAGCCCACCAGGACTGAGGGGCACATACTCACCACAGTGAGAAAGAATACACACCCTAGCAGAACCTAGACCCATGGTCTGCCCATCACGTTCTGTCCCAAACTACAGATGCTTCCAATTAGCAGAGCAACAAGCAAGGAAACTGGTCCCCAAATGCCCGAATTTCACGGATTTGTCTCCTTTTTAAAGGTAAGAAAAGACACTCCATATGTCCCCACAAAGAGCTGACAGAAATCTGCAAGGAAAATAGTCCAAGTTGTTTCAGTTCTCATGAACATAAGGCCCTTGGTGGCACCTCCAAAACCCACCAAATATACTCTCCACAGACTCTCGCCTCTGAAAAGTGACTTTGTGAAAGACAGGGTACAGAATCGTGTGAAGAAGTTGGGGCATGGTCTTAATAAGTTAGCATATGTAGTAAGCAGATACAACATGCATACCAGAGATCAGAAGAGAGCTCTAGGAAGGACTGAGGGATGCATGCATGTGTGCATGTGTATCTGTGCATATGTGTGTGTGTGTGTGTATGTGTGTGTGTTTATGTGTGAGTGTGTGTGTGAGTGTGTGTGAGTGAGTGTGTGTGTATGTGTGTGAGTGTGTGTGAGTGTGTGTATGTGTGTGTGTGCATATGTGTGTGTGTGTGTATGTGTGTGTGTGTGTGTGTAGGCCAGAGAACAACCTTAGCTGGAATTCCTCAAGAACTCTCCAGTTTGTTCTTTTTAAAAAATTAAAAAGATTTATTTTTAATTGTGTGTGTGTGTGCACTTGCACAGGTGCAGGGGTGTATATGTAAGTTTGGGTGCCCTGGAACTCGCAAGAGGGCATCAGATCCCCTGGAGTTTGAATTACAGCACTTGTGAGCCACCAAATGTGTATACTGGGAAGCAAACTCAGGCCCTTTGCAAGAGCAGTACACATCATTCTCAACCCCCGGGCCCTCTCTCCAGCTTCCAAGGTTTTCTTTGTACAGGATCTCTTGCTGCTCTGAAACTGACAGCTAGCCTATGTGTCTGCCAGTGAGCCTCAGAGATCTGCTTGTGCCTGCTTCTCCAGTAGAGGGATGAGAAGAACATGCCACCATGTCTGGCTTTTCTGTGTGGGAATTAGGGATCAAATTTAGATCCCTGTGCTTCCAGGGCAGTGCCCAGTGTTGCTTGATTTATGGTACCCCTTTGAGAGCACATCAGGGAATGGCCAGATTGATGGAGGAGGCCAATGCTGGGGCTGTTACCCTTCACCCAGCTATCCCCAGCAGGAGCAGAGCAGGCAGGAGTTTCTTCCCTGGTCCAGGAGGTGACTGTTGATCAGTTTTGCTTGTGTGTGATGGCTGCTCTCAGTCCCTGGTGATTGATATTGATTGCTAAGACTTTGGCATTGCTCACAGACTACCACCAAGATATATGCAGAAGGCCAGGGATACTAAAAATAAAAATCACCCTCTATATTCACAGCTCGGTAAGGAGCTTGGCCAGGCAAGCCTGGGCGGACTTGCTACTTTTCAACCCAACTCTTCCTGGGTATCTTGGCCCGACCTTTGCTCTCCTCATCCCTGGCTTAGCTAAAATCCTTTGGTCAGAGGTTCCCAGAAGTTCATCACCCCTCCTAACGACTTCCTGTTTAATTGTCCTCATCTCAACTCAACAGCTTTCTCACGGAAATATGCCAACGTGTACCTGGATATCAGAGATCTCTCCCAATAGAAGGTAAGTCCATTGACCAGGAAGCAGTTCTCTTTACCCACAATGCATGGCAGCTTCTAGGTCATCCCACTGATTATTTGTTGAACAAATGTACACAAGTGGAGACTGAACCCCTAACTTTGTACCCTCACTCCTCCTAGGAGAAGTCGGCCATCTTCTTTTTGTGGCTGCCTCTGCCTGCTGCTGCTGGGGTCTGCAAAGGAGGCTACCCAACCATTCTTTATCATAGTTTATAAGTGTGTTCTCCTCCCATGTCCCCTGTACCCTCCTAAAAGAGCAAGTGAAGCATGTCTCCAATATCAATCACCAAAATCAAAACAAACCAAAACTACATTACAGGCTCTTAGTCCAGTGTGATGGCTCACAGGTAAAGGGGCTTCTTAAAACCTGGTGACCCAAGTTTACTGTTTGGGACTCACACAGTAGAAAGACAAAACTGACTCCTGCAAGTTTATTTCCATATGTGTGCCATGGTGCATGTGTGTGCTCGCACACACGCACACTCACATACATACACACATACATTCACATATACACACTTATACACACATACACACACACCCACAACCATACACACACTCACATACACACACTCATACACTCACACACACTCATACACTCACACACTCACATATGCACACACACACACATATATATGTATATATATACATGTGTATATACACTCACATACACACACACTCACACACATACATACATGCTCACACATACATACTCACACACAAACACATATTTAATAATATATACACACATACACACTCACATATATATACATACACACACACACTCACATACTCAATACATATATACATGCACATTCTCACACCACAGACACACACACACACAGACACACACACACACTCACACTGCTTGTTAAAAAGCCCCAGGGCATTCTTTTCCCAGTTAGTGGTGGGAAATAAACAGGAATCATAAAACAATATGAGTTATATTTAATAAAGCTCAGGCTCTACTTCTGGATTTCTTCCTAACATCTTGTGTCAACATCTCATGAATTCGGTTACTGTGACTTTAAAGCACATAAGTCATGTCTTACCAGGCAGATCCTTTTCAGTCCTTCCTTAATTTTTCTAAACATTTCTACACTATTTCTGACTTTGTTCCATCAGATGACTTTGATGCTGGGAATCTTTTCGGGATGTTGACATCTGGTTTGAGTTCCTGTTCTGAATTACATTAAACTTCTAACCTAATTTTGGAAGAAGTCATCTCTACACTGCCTCTCCTTCCAGTACACGGCCCCCATTTCTTGGAGATCAGCAGTTTTCTTGCTAAGTTTTCACTTCATACTTTTCCCTTGTTCTTATTATGGTTGGAATCGACCCTCTTCCCGTCCCTGCATCCCCCCCCCCCGCCCCCGATCCTGTCTGAGATTCATACATAATTTTTAGCTCACAGAGAACTCATGGTGTCATTAGACACTCCTGAAATGGGGATCTACATGGGCCCCCAAGTCAGCTGGGCCAGCTGGATAATTGCATAAAGGGTGTGGTGTGGTTCATGAACAATCTCTCCTTTCGACAGGAAGGATTTGCCATCTGTTTTCATCTGAGTTCAGAATTGCTGTGTTCTTTCCCTTCTTCATGGGAAGGTTTGCCATCTGCAAACCCAAGAGCTCAGTACTGCCCTGGAGACCTTCCTATTTCTCCGAGATATCTCTCTCTCTCTCTCTCTCTCTCTCTCTCTCTCTCTCTCTCTGTCTTGCCCACTCCCCAGGCAATAACTCTTTCTACAAGCTGGACACCTTCATACCTCTACTCTCTCAGCATCAGAAGGAAGACAAGGTGGTGGAGCTCTGCGGGGCTGTGACCCTCTTATAAAAATAAAACCCAACTACTTATGATAATCAATGAAGATGCTTTAATTAAAATGTTCCAGGATAATGGATATACAAACTGGCCTCTAATGCAAGAGTTTACTAATTTTGGGTCCCCAAGAAGCAGGGTTGTAAATGGTGTTTCTATCAAGAAACAAGGGATGAATCACTGTCCATGGTAACTTGTGTCATGACCCGTCTAGAAGAACAGAATTCTGGAACCAGGGGGATCCAGAAGGCTCTAGATGTGGGCACAGTAGGGCATGTGTGGAGATTTGGCTACTGAAATATTGGCAGCAGACTCAGGCCAGTCCCTAGCTCTACACATCCCTTTTCAGGAGTGTGACATCTGAGAGGTAAGTTAGGCACTGGACCAGGACGTTCTCCTAGAAAATGCTGGGGATGGGTCCAACCTAGAGCTGAAAAAGCCAGTATTCATTTCCACACTCCGGGGACCAGCGTTTGGAAGGCTGACCATTGGGTCTAAGGGACAAGAGCAGCCACCTAAAGGAGAAACAAGACCATTTGGCACAACGAATTGCCTCAAGGGTTTAGGACAGACCTATAAGGCATTTAAGATAGGGCTCTACAAGCTCATTCTTCGGCAGTTTCCCTGGTCCACTTACATCCAGCTAAAGTGAGCCATTCAGGCCATCTGAGGGGTCAGTCTGCCTACGGCCAGGGTCTGACCTCAAACAAGGAAAGAACCATGCTTCTAAAGGGGTTCTGCTGCTGTTGGGCAAGAACTGGAAACCTCACATTCTAGAGAGAAAGTTGCATTAAAGTCACCAAACTGGCTCTAGTATCAGTCTTTCATGCACCTGCATATCAGCTCCCAGGAAGCAGAGACAAATGTTACTCTCTCTCTCTCTGTCTCTGTTTCTCTTTCTCTCTCCCTCTCTCTTTCTCCCTGCCCCCTCTCTGTTGTATGAACTGGTAGTGGCTGGATCATGAGTGATGTCCCAGCTACTGTGACCTTAAAGATGGAAACTTGGGTTCAGTCCCATGCAGTGTCCCCGCACTGACATTCTGCACAGTGTGAAGGGCACCAGCTGTGGACACAGATCTGCGTCTGTACGCCGCAAGGCATCGAACTCGCTGTGCTCAGCACCCAGCAGATGGACAGTATTTTGTGAAGTTGATTTTTCTGGAGCTTGTTACAGGGTGTATGCTAATTAACATTTGCTGGGCTCCTGCTGCGTGCACGAAGCTTACACTGCATAATTCAAGTCTCACCAATTCGGAAAGGCGGTTATGATTATCCCTGTTCTACACGAGGGGGCAAGATATGTTTATCCAATCAACAATGAAGACCTAGGGATCAAGTTAGAAATAAGACAGACAGACAGACAGACAGACAGGCTTGTTGGCATGCTGAGAGCAAGCATGCCGTGAGAACAGACTCACTGAATAGGGAAAGGACTAGAGGGCCCAGGAAGGCCAGGAGCCAAAAGGAGGCCAGAGTGGGTGTGAAGACAAGAAAGGTTGACAACGGGTGCTTGTAATACAGCTAAGATGTCAGCTTAAGCCCAGAGTTCTCAAAACAGTGAAATGAAACAAACACTCAAAGCCTAAAACCCATCTCCGTACAGCACATGTCTCTGCTTGATAATATTCAGCCTGTGATTCTGTATCTGTTTTTTTTTTTTTTTTTTAACGTATGAAGAATGATACCTGGTCGAGTCTTCATAAACTTGTGGCAAACTGGGGGATGGACTTGAACTCTGAGGAACTGATTCACTTGGGAGTCTAAGTAAGGCTAAGCGTGTGTGTGGGAGGGCCTCACTGCTTCCCCAGTGACTCTCCTTTTCCTGCATATTATTCCTGGGGTGTATCAGGTGGAGGTGCTTGGAGGAAGTGATCCCCACTAGCCGGTAAAGGTGATGGCACACACCTCATCCCAGCATGCCTTGCCACTGGTCCAGACTGAGTTTTTCTTAGAGATTTGGGACCATGACAAAGCCAACAGGCTATGGAGCCAATGTTAGACAGACGTCACATGATAGTCTCTACTTCCCCCAGGGCCTATGTTGACCCCTGTTAGACAGATATCACGTGGTGTCATTATAGTGGACTTTTCTCCCCTATAGCACTGGTTCTGCTGGCTCAGCTGCCTAGCAGAGTGTAGGAGCTCCTTCACACACCCGCACACAAAGGGTCAGCAGGAACCATGCTGTGACCTTGGAATGGGGAAAAGACCCAAGAAGCAAGTCTCTGTTAGAACCATCTCTCAAATGAGAAACATAACGTCTAGTGTATGTATCACAGTTAACAGGAGCCTCAGGCACTGGGAGAGGAAGTCCTGTTGGGAGTAATGAAGAGGTGGCCTGTCACAAAGACAGTAGCTAATGATTTGAGGTCAAGGTTTGTCATACATCCTCAGCTCTTACACTAGCTGCAGGCCATGATAACCCAGACTCAGTTTCCCCATCTGAATAATCTGCATCTGTATCAAAGGGTTATTTTAATGAGCTTGTCTGTCTATCTGTCATCTATCTATCTATCTATCTATCTATCTATCTATCTATCTATCTATCATCTATCTATCTATCACCCATCAACCTATTATCTATACATCTATCATCTATCAATATATCATTATTGTCAATCTACTCTCTGTAGAAGGCACGAGGTCTTTGTGCTCACAGTTAAGCACCGGGGAAACCAGGAATGTTAAGCAAGCAATGTCATCTCTTCAACAGAAGAGATGTCGAGTCTGTTTTCCACCTGGAAGTCTGGAAACGAATGTAGTTAATAGCCTAGTGACCTGTGCTATCTGTAGGGCCCAAACTGCCTGAATCCCCCAGACTATTATACTTACCCCAGACTCTTCCTCCCAGACCTTTATCTTGAGCATTGGTTCTCAGTCTGGAACCCATCCTTATGTGAGATGTCGCATGCACTTTATAGTAACCCAGGTGACTTCTGTGTTACCTGTAGGGCCAGGTCACTCGGGACTCACATGTTTATCTCAGTCATTCTAGGTCCTTATCTTGAGCATGGATGGTTTCTCAGTCAACAGACGAGATCGTGTGTACTTTGTAAAGAGTTTCAATGTAAACATGACTTACGTACATACGGGATCGAGTTTATCACTACCAGGAAACTTTTTTACAAAATGATGTTGTGCTTAAATATGTCTAAAATCAACTGCTTGGGGTCAGATTCTAGAAGGTTGAACCAGCACCAGCTACTGGGTTGTACTGAATCAGATTTCCTTCTTGCCTCACATGGATCTTACTCTACTGGACATGGTGTTTACAGAACCCCCCTCCCAATTATCTGTCTGTCTGAACATCTGTCTATCTGCTTGTTTGTCAATCAATATATAATCTATCAGTTTATCATTAACCTATCAATTTGTCATCTATCTCTTAGCATCTATCTTCTCCCTATCACCTATCAATCTGTCATCTATGTCTGTGTATATGTCTATCATTTATCTATATACCTGACATCTCCCTACCATCTATCTGTCCATTCCCTGTCATCTCTCATCTCCCTCCCTCCCTATAATCTCTATATCTATCCACAACATGTCAAAGGGACACTCAGCCTGTCACTCTCTTCCCTTCATTTGTGGCAGACAGGTATACACAGTGTAAACATGTCTTGAGAAGCCGTGGAGGGGAAGCCAGCACAGTGGGCAGGCAGAAGCAGGGTGGGGAGGCATCTGTGACCCCTCTGTGCTGGGGGATGGCGTGCCTTTCATGCTACTCAAATTCTGTACCTAGGAGCTCAGGCATCTGCTTGTAAGGAAAGGCCTGTAAGGGAGGGAAGGTGTGTGGAGCTACAGATCCAGTGTTTCTCGATCCTGAAAGCAGGCCTGATCTGTTTGAAACGCTGGGATCCCTGTAGAATTGGTTTGAAAGGGAATTTCAGGCTGAAATAAACAAACTGAAACTGGCCCAGCCCAAGAATCCAGATGGCCACTTTCAACACAAAGCTTCCATCTCGTGCACCAAAACCTCTCTGCTGCTTTTAAGAGCAGTTAGAACGGTACATAATTCTAAACCAGGGGCAAAAGGAGAGGAGTCAGATAACAATGTGGGAAACAGGGAAGGTTGGGGGGATGAAAAACTCAGAGACGAGGGACCACAGGAGACATGATGGGAGGACAGTGAGGCCCCTTCCTTGATTGTCCCTGGCAATGACTGAGAAAGTTCTCTCTCTTTCTCCCAAGTACTTGGGCTGAGCACTGAGGGGGAAGCTTCCTGGGGCCCAGGGTGTGTCTGCACCCCCTGCAGCTGCTATAGGTGTCACCGTCTGCAGGAGTCTCCTGCCCCTTACCTTCTTCAGCTCCTCTTGGACACCCTGGTTGTTCTCCTCAGAAGAGAGACTTCCCTTCTGGTTCTTAGGCTCAGTCTTGGACTCCGACTCCTGGTCCTCCCCAGAAGAAGTCTCCTTTTCACTCATTTTCATGGCTAACTCATACAGCCTGTTTCTCAGCCTCTCCTCAGCAGAATCTGTGCTAGACCGGGAATTCTGAGCCTCATTGCTGATATCAGTCTCTGACACGTTGTCTGACACCTGCAGGGAGCCAGAACCAGGAGATAAGAGCCTTTATCTTTGGAATAAATGAATCTCACTTCTGAGTGGATTGCAGCTGTCCCCAGGAACCCCCAAGGAAGGAAGCCCAGGGCAACAGCAAGTCTTTCCTGATTTGATTTCCACTTTACCTTGGGTGTCTTTAACGCATTCAACACTTGGCTAAAGAGCTTAGGTAGATGAGCCTCAGGCTTAGAAGAGTGTTTGAATTGTGTTCTTGTGTATGTGGGTGGGTGGTGCATGAACCAGAGAGACCAGAGGACAACCTTGGCTAATGCTCCACAGTGTCTTAGTCAGTGTTCTATTGCTGTGAAGAGACACCATGACCTCAACAACTCTCACAAAGAATGCGTTTAACTGGGGGTTTTCTTACAGTTTCAGAGGCTTTATCTATGTATTATCATGGCAAGACGATGACAGCATATAGGCAGGTGCTTGAAAAGTAACTGAGAGCTACATCTTGATCCACAGAGGGTGGAAGGGAGAGAGGGAGAGAGGGAGAGAGGGAGGGAGGAAGGGAGGGAGGGAGGGAGGGAGGGAGGGAGGGAGGAACTGAGAAAGAGTGAGTAGGCTTTTGAAACCTTAAAGCCCACCCCTCAGTGATACACTTCCTGCAACAAGGTTGCACTGATTTCAACAAGGCCACACCCCCTAATCCTTCTAATCCTTTTAAACAGTAACACTCTCCAGTGACTGTGCATTCAAATATTATCAGCCCAAGGGCTGTTCTTATTCAAACTACCACACTTAGCCACAATCCACCTTGTTTGTTTGGTTTTGAGACAGGATCTCTCACTTGCTCGGAGCTCCACATGCTTGAATACTTTACTCCCTTCCCTGAGACTAGGGCTTCTGCTCTGAGATTTGGAATTCCCAGCCTGTGGACCTCTGCCCTGGGTCAGCTCTCCCTGCCTCTCTGGATCTACCTCTTACTTGTGTGGAGCTCCTTAAGTAGGCAAGCCTCAGGAATCTAACTGTCTGTTTCTCCAGCACCAGGATTCCTGGCATGTACCACCACACCTGGTATCTATCTGTCATCTATCTATCTATCTATCTATCTATCTATCTATCTATCTATCTATGTAAGACAAGCATTTTACCTACTGACCCATTCTCCAGACCCAAATTCATTCTTCTTCACCATCAGATTTCTTGTGCCCCCACACATGGAGTCACCAGGCTGGGCACACCTGTCTGGGCACACCTGTCTGGCCCTCCCACCAGCAGCCTGCTAACAGAGGAGACTAAAATCTCCCTCTTGGATCCAAGGTGCCTTTAGGTGCAGAGCAAACGGTGTGTAAGGGAAGCCATGCAGGGGTCCTACACATCACATAGAGAGACAGAGAAGGCATCCCTGTGGAAGCAGTGCTTGAGTTGAGACTTCAAGTGTTGCAGTCTCCCAGCTCAAAACAAAACAAAAAAAGGCAAGATTAGTATTCCAGAACTAATGGGTCCTTGTGCATGTGTAAGCCATACTATGTGATACCCTAATAGCCATACTGTGTGATACCCTAATAACTACAATCCCCTTTAGTTAATAACCATATCTCCTGATCCTGCTTTATTGGGTGATTACATGCTAAGCTCCTTCTATGGATGTGACTCTTACAGGTTGGGGAACCCCAGGAGCCTGTGGTGATTGTTAGGTTCTCAAAAGGATCCACCATAACTCCCCTGCTTTCTGGCTAAGACCAAGCCTAGTATTGAGATGACCTATGGCACAGAAATGTTTAAGAAGAGGGTGATTCAGTGAGGACTCTTACTTTGCAGACATGTTCTCTGCCATCCTCTTATTCTGAAAGGTAAGTATGGAAAATCTTACACCAGCTTTACCAGGACCCCCGTTACCCATTTTCTGAACTACTCCATCTCATTTTTCTCTTCTCACTACTAGATTTTTCTTTTTTGTGTGTTTCTATGAATAATATAGTAAATAAAGGAATAGTCATGTTATTAATCTATTATATACAAAGATTAGTAGCTGCTCACATGGCAAGGTCCTTTTTTACATGTATGTATGTATGTATGTATGTATGTATGTATGTATGTCTTGTGTAGTATGAATGTGTGTAGTATGTATGTGTGTATGCCTGCCTGCATGTATGTGTGCAGTACGTATGTATGTGTATGTATGCATGCATGCATGTGTGTAGTATGTATGTATGCATGCATGTATGTACGCATGTAATATGCATGTATGTATATATGTATGTGGTCAGTATGTATGTATCTATGTAGTATGTATGTGTGTATGCATATATGTATGTATGTGTGTAGTATGTATGCATGTGTGTAGTATGTATGTGTGTATGTATGTATGCATGTAGTATGTATGTATGTGCATGTGTTGTATCTATGTAGTATGTATGTATATGTGTAGTATGCATGCATGTATGTGTGTGTAGTATGTATGTGTGTAGTATGCATACATGAATGTGTAGTAGGCATGTATGCATGTGTGTAATATGTATGCATGTGTGTGTAGCATGCATGCATGCATGTGTGTAGTATGTATGTATGTGTGTAGTACATATGTGTGTAATATGCATGTATGCATGTGTGTAGTATGCATATATGTGTATATTATGTATGTATGTAGTATGTATGTGTGTAGTATGTATATATGTGTGTAGTATGTATGTATGTATGTATGCATGCATGCATGTATGTTTTGTGTATATGTGTAGGCATGTGGACCTTTACATGCCTCAGCACAGATGTGGAGATCAGAGGACTGTGGCAGTCAGTTTCCTCCTTGGACATGTAGATCCTGGGGACCCAACTCATGTCATCAGGCTTAGTGGCAAGCCTGCTTTGTCTGCTGAGCCATCATTAGGTCCAACATTCTTAGCACATTTTTAGAGAATAATTAGAACTTAGAATGTTGGATGGAACCAAATTTATCCCCAAGAAAACATCTTTACTAATGAATATAACTAAAAATAAAGCATTGCGGGAAGCTAAAATAGCAGCTGTCTGTAACCCTCAAGTTCCCATTAGTGAAAAATGCACCCATGTTAAAGTGGGGTTTGGCTAACAGCCCTCACGACCTTGCCAAATCTTCTTCCAAAACTATGTAGGCAGACCCACAAAAGGATGGTATTCTATTGCCAAACTGCAATGGAAATCAGCTTCTTGCCAGCAAAAGAAGAATTTTCCATTAAAAAAAAAAGACCCATAGGAATAGACAAGAAAAAGAACTGGTGGATCCAGCTGGTCTCTTCCCTCTAAGTGTATAATTTTTGGTCTCTTCTCTGCAGTATTCTGCCAACCTCATTGGTTCAGAAACGTTGGATAAATAGACACCATAAACAAAATGAACAGCAACCAAACAAGCAGAACACATAGCTGAGTCTTGCACTTCATCAATCTGAGAATAAGCCTTAGTTTCAATTCCCCAACATGCTACATAGACATTAATTATGTGCCTAAGTGTGTGTCTATCTGTGGGTATATGCATGTGAGTGCAGTGCCTGTGGAGGCCAGAAGAGGGCATCATATTCAGTGGAGCTGGAATTATAGGCAGTTGTAAGCTGATTTGTGGGTACTGGGAACTGAACTTGTCCTGTGCAAGAGCAGAAAGGACTCTTAACTGCTGAGCCTTCTCTCTAGGCCTGTGTCAAGCCATTCTTAGAAGCTGATGCTGAACTCAGCAAGTTAGAATACAAATGGAATTCAGTTCTTACAGACGGGAGTCATGATCTAGAAAATCATATATGACAAACGTTAAGCCATCTCAAAATTAAGAAATATATCAATGTGATTAACAGCGTTAATAGATTTGAGAAGAAAACTGTCCAGGCACGGGGCTCACACTTAGAGTCACAGCACTTGGGAGCCTGAAACTGAGAGGCTGAAGTTAAGGTCACTTGTGCGTTCTGGGCCATCTGGGCGCCATAGTGAGAAGACCCTGTCTTATGAAACCAAATCAAATCAAAAGCCCATTCCTGACTTACATCGTTTGGGGCCACAAAAGGCTTCTTAGTTTTGATAAGAGCTGCACAACTGGAAGCAAGCAGCAGACCTGACTGTGAACCACTGGGCGGGTCACCAAGGAAGAAAGACCCTGCCCGCTGCTACGATTTCACAGTGAGCGCAGGCTGTTGCCACTGCAGGAAGACAGGAAAAGGGATGACTGCAAAGACGGAAAAGACCAAAGTGTCCCTGGCCTTTCCGATTCCAGCTACTCATGAGGCCGAAGCTGAGGAAGACAGTGAATTCAAGGCTGACTGCGCAACTTAAAGAGATTCTGTCTCCAAAGCAAAGAAGGTCCTCAGAGGAAGAGAAGGAGGAAGGAGACTGGAGAGAGAGAGAGCTCTGTGGCAGAGTACTCACCAGTACGCATGAGTTCATTATTTGTAGATAATTAGAATAGCTAAGAACACCACATGAAAGACTAGCGGAATTAACAAAAGATCCATTAGAGCGCTAAGTTATTACAGAACAAAGTCAGTGTCGTTCTATAGGCGCTGATCAGAACACATGACAGATGAAGAAACTCTCACTTACAGCATCATTAAAATGTAAATTAAAAATTACTTAACAGGAAAAGCATGAGGGGGTTTGAACAAAAGTCTAAAAACTTTCCAAGTGCTGGACAATCCTGGATGGAAAAGCTCAGTTTTACAAAGACATAAATTATTCCTAAGTATATGCATATACTCAGCACAACCCAATACAACTTGTGTTTTTTTTTTTTTCAAATTGAACAGATTTTAAGAAAGCAATTATATGAGTAAAGGTTTGAGAGATGCCAAGAGAGTTTTAGAAAATGATGTAAGTATCAACCAACGTAACATGGGTGGGGGAGAAGGGGTGGGGGAGGGGAGGCTCACCAGACAGCAACATGTACTGTAGAGAATTTATAATGAAAACAGTAAGATCTGTACAAGAAGAGAACAAAGAATAGACACATGGCAACAAAGTAAACTTCATGTGTAAAGAAGGTATCTCATGCCAGCCGATACATGGAGGCTGGCTTATTAATGATATGGAAACAAATAACTTGGAAAAAAAAAAAGCTAGCTCTTACTTCACACCCAGACAAGCAAAGCCTATCTGAGTCTTGATGGAAAATACAGACCTGCAAAGCATCATGAAAAAGTATAAGCTTGAGAATTAATGGCTTTGGCTAACAAAATGATAAAGGAGACAATTAGCAGGATCTCATGTAGCCCAGGCTGGCCTTGAACTCAACTCACCATGTAGCTGAGGATGACCTCACATACCTGAGCCTCCTGCCTCTACTTACCAAGTGCTGGGATTGCAGGTGTGTGCCATCATGCCTGACTTATGTGATGCTGGGATCCACCCCAGTTCCTTAAGCCAGCCAGACAAACACTCTGCCAACCGAAGTACCTGATCCCACCTAACCATCGCTATTAAGCAAAACGTTTATATGTAAGATGTACTTAAGCACATGCCTTTAATCTTAGCATCTGGGAGGCAGAGGCAGGAGGATATCTGTGAGTTTGAAGAAAGCCTAGTGAGTTCCAGGCAAGGCTGTTTATTGAGTCCCCGTCTCAAAACATCAAAATATAAGATAAATATATCTGAGAGAGGTGACAGGTAAAACATAATATACTTTTCATAGGAGAAAAAAATGAGAACAGTTTTAAAACTAGGGAAGAAAGAATCTCAGTGGAAACCATGCAAATGTTCACTAAAAAAGTTTTGTTTTTTGTTTTTTTTTTCCTCACATGGAATTGGCATGAATTGAACAGGCTGCTAATGACATCGTTGACAAGTGCGAAATGCACGCATAAGCTGTCGTGGCTATGCAAATAGCTATGAGGACCGAGAGCTTAATTTGACAGCTCTTTAAAGTTTGCACAACGGCACTCTGTGGGCCTGTCTGCAGCCTGAAAGCGTGGATAATATCTTTACACATCCATCACTGTGGGACAAGGAAGAGCCAGTGGCACCCAAGTGGGGTTTGGAAGCTACTCAGTCCGCTGGAGTTTGTCACCAGCATTGTAACTTAGAATTGTCTGTGAGTGGCAGGAGACATTGACACAAAGACAGCATTTGGGGACTGCGGAGGTGTCCAGCGATTAAGAGCGCTTCCTGTTCTTGGAGAGGACATGAATCTGGTTCCCAACATCTATGTTTGGCTGCTCCACTCACATGTACAAACTCAAACTCACCCCTCCACCAACGGACCTAATTAAATATGATAATTAATAAAAGACTTTTAATGCGTTTATTGCTGTTCTTAATATGTGTGTGTGTGTGTGTGTGTGTGTAAGAGAGAGGGCATTCTGGCAGTGATCTGTCTCTGCCCCATTAGCTCAGGGATTACAAACCTGTACCACCATGCCTGGGTTTTTATATGTGTCTGAGATGAGACGTGGGTGCAAGGCAAGCACTTTACCCACTAAGCTATCTCCCCAGAGCCCGGTTTTAACTTTTCTACAGACGATGTGTTCTTCATTGCCTGCATTCTGGGTAAGCTGATACCCTGTTCTTGGTACACTGTCTTCCTGAAAGCTTCTGTACTTGGAATGCCCAGATGGGTGTGGGCCAACCTCTCTGTATCATTTATGGCTGAGAGTTAGAGAGAAGTGGAAGAAGATGGACAGACAGCATGATGCCAGACACAGACAGACCTGCTGAGTTACAGTTTTAAGTCTACTGCATGCCTATGAACACAGAGAGATGGCTGTACTTGAGAGTTTTATGTCAACTCGACACAAGTAAGGTCATCTGGAAACGGGAACCTTGATTGAGAAAATGCCTCCATAACATGGGGTTGTGGGCAAGCCTGTACGGTGCTTTCTTAATTAGTGATTGATGGGGGACGGTCCAGCCCATTATGGGAGGGGTCATCCCTGGGGTGGTGTCCTGGGTTCTACAAGAAAGCAGGCTGAGCAAGTCGTGACAGCAAACTAGTAGAAAGCTCCCCTCCATGGCCTCTGTGTCAGCTCCTCCTTCCAGGACCCTGCCCTGTGTGAGTTCCTGTCCTGACCTCCTTGGATGATGAACAGGGACGTGGAAATGTAAGCCAAATCAACCCTTTCCCCTCCGGTTTTCTTTTGGTCATGGTGTTTCATCATGGCAATAGAAAATAGCCTCACACAAAATACACCTTTAGGGGTCCGGGGTGGAGAGAATAGCATTGAGTTAATTTGTTCATTTTTATTTTATTTTAAATTATTTGTGACACTTTGTCTGAATGTGCACCACATGTGTACATGTGCCCTTTGTGTCAGATCTTCTGGAACTGGAGTTACTGGGTGCTGCCTGGTGTGGGCACTGGAAACTAAATCCAGGCGCTCTTTAAGGGCAGTGAGCGTTCTTAACTGCTGAGCCATCTCTTCAGCCCTGTCTGTTTTCTGGGATGGGGGTATGTGTTTTACTATATAGACCGGAACTTGCTATGTAGTACAGGCTAGCCCCCAATACATTATCCTCCTGCCTTTGGAGTACTGGGATCATTGGCATGTGCTACCATGCCTGGCAGGAAATGCCACTGGGATACTCTAATACTTGTATATTATAGTTTTGTATATGTATTATAATACAATATTTATACAAATATAAATATTTAATATTTGTATATTATAGCAGGTCATTTCCTTTGTCTTATGTTAATTTATTTATATTTTTCTGAATAAATATGTAATTTTTATTTTATTTCAACCTGGTGTGTGTGTTTTGGAGGAGGCAGAGATGAGAGCTGCCCTATGAAAGGAAACTTCAGGTTTGAACACCCAGGGCAGCGTAGCAGCATCTCCACCTAGTGGCTATGAGAGGGTACTGCTACTTACTAAAGGTCCTTCCAAGGGAGGAGAGGCAAGGAGGGTAACAGGCAGCTTCTGGCCAGCCTCTGGCCTCTCCCTAAAGGTGCTGTTCTGGTCACCAGGCCAGAACATTGGCTTTATTTTTGTCAACTTGACACAGGCCAGAATCATCTGGGAAGAGGTTGAGAAAATCCCTCTCCAGATTGCCCTGTGGGCAAGACATTGTTTGGATTGATGATTAAAGTGGGAGGGCTCACTGCGCCACTTCTGGGCCAGTGGTCCTCGGTTGTATGAGAAAGCAGGCTGAGCAAACTATGAGGAGCAGGCTAGTAAGCAGCACTCCTCCATGGCCTCTGCCTCAGCGTCTGTCTCCACGTTCCTTCCGTCTGAGCTCTGGCCGTGACTTTCCTCAGTGACAAAGCATGACGTAAGCAGACACGACCCCACGCCCCCTCCTCTCAAATTGCTTCTGGTCATGGTGCTTCATCTCATTAATACAAAGCCTGACAACGACAGGTGCCGTTCAAAGACCGAAGCCTGCGCAGGAGTCTGAAGCCTCTTTGTAGTTCATAGAAGCCTCGGGCACCCGTTTTGAATCATGCAATGATTAGGAATCCTCCTTGGATATATATCGTGCCTTAGTTTTTAAAAAATTAACTAGTCTGTGTGTGTGTATGTGTGTGCATGGTTGTGTGTGTGAGGGTGTGTGTGTTGAAAATATAGAGGCCAGAGATTAACCTCAGGTGTTTCGTCAGGTGGCATCCACCTTTTTTTTTTTTTTTTTTGAGACAAGGTCTCTCACTGGCCTGGGGCTGAGTAGGCTAGGCTGTCGGAGTGGTGACTGTGTGAAGTCCCCTGTCCCTGTCTTCCCAGCACCAGAATAGCACTGTGCTTGGTTTTTTCTGTAGGCGGTGATTGAACTCAGGTCTTCAAGCTTACACAGTGAGCCCTTTTCCAACTGAGCCTTCTCTCCAGCCCTGCCCCGGCTCTCTCCCATGTTCCCTTTCTCTTCATTCTGTCCATCATGAACTGAAGAAGTTCCCACCATCGACATGTTCTGGTTAAGCTCAAGAGACACAGCACCCACACAGAAGCTTCCAAAGAGATGAGCTTCCAAGTGACAGCTCAAGGTGTGTGTGTCTGTGTTTCTTCACAGTGACAAGAAAGTCTAATGCTAGGACAAATTGACACTGAGGGTTGATGTGGCCTGCCTCCGGTCACTCGGCTGCTTGGCAGCAGGACCAATTAGAATCTTAGATAGCAGAGCCCAAACCCAGGGTCTCTAGGGCACCACATGTGGAGAAGGGTCATCCTACTTTCAAAGTATGTGTGTGTTTGCAGGTTTCTTTACCTGAGCTGTGTGCAGAGCCTGTGGATGGGCACCAGGTGAAGGCAGCCCCCTGTTTGACTCCTCTGGGCCCATTCGGGCCCTTCTCCACCTCCTGGCTCTCCTCTCTGCAGTGCGGAGCGTCTCCTCTGGATCACTACTGTCGGAAGTCTCTCCACCAGCTACCTGAGGATTGAAATTGACATCCAGGTCTCCCTGGAGGTGCATCTTCTCTGCTGCAGGGTTCTTGGGGGCCTTTCTCTGCAGCCAGGACAGCTTAGCCCGGCAGCCAGCTTCCTGAGATGAGCTGGTGGAGGATGTCTCTGAATCCGAGCACATGGCCTCAGGGTTTGAGGGAGAGGTGGCTAAGGGACCTTGGCCAGAACTCTGGGCTTGTGCAGGTTGAGGCTGGGGTTGCTTGAGCCTGCCCTGGGATGGCGGGCACAGCTTACTCAAGGCTTTGCTGTAATCAAAGTCTTCCTCACTGTCAGAACCTATCTCATCGTAGGCAGATGTCACACTGGATGCCACCTCCAGGGCCTGAAAGGTTCCACTCTTCGGTTTGGCCAGCAGGCGGGTTGGGGGCTGTCTACCATTGTCCTTCAAGGTCATCCAGTTGCCATCGGGGCTCTGCAAAAGTGGGGCTAGATCTGTGGGGTACAGGTGAGAAAGAAACAAGGAGTGTCCATTAATACTGTAGGAGCGAGCTGGGAGGTACATGTCGTCTCCCTCGAGACTCCTGTGAGACTGTGGGGCGAGCGCCTTAGGGAGACCAGGAGTGCACACCCAACTCGCAGGATGTTAAGAGCTATACACAGGTACCATCAGTATCAGCTTCTCCCATCCAAGGCGGGGCAGAGAGGCTGTAAGAGACGGGGGATGGGCGGAGAGCTTTTAATGAGAGCATGGCTGTTGCACACATCAGCTTACAGGGGCCATGGCTCCCTGCCTGACACCTTCACAGTATCAAGTCTGTGAAATTTCAAGTGCAGATGGGAGAGGGGCTCACAGGGTCTCACCCCTAGCAGGGAGCAATTGGCAGTTGATGGCTGCCAATGGAGGCAGAGTCACTGTCTTTGGAGATGTGGAGCGTGGCAGGTTGTTGCTGCTCTAGTACTAACTAAACTCCGATGGTGACGATGATGAAGATGGTCTGACATGAAATTGGAGGAAAATGGGTTGAGGGGTGCTGAGGAGGGGGTAACTGGGAGAAGGTGATGGAGGCGGGTATAATCAAAATACACACATGAAAAATTTGGTAAAGATATTATTAAAACAGAGACTCTTCAAGGATCCCTGGGGGCCTTGCAGACGGAGTGAGACCGGAGACACGGTCCCTTTCCTGCCTCCTGAGAGAGCTGTCCCACACTGTTCTAAGGCTGGCAGAAGGGGAGGGAGAGCTACAGCAGCCGGGCTAAGGTCTTGTTTTTTGACATCGGCCATCTGTACCTTAGGTTCCCAGCTCCCTGCCCCCTCGCACGTCCCAAGGCCAAGATGGATTGATTCTAATGGCTCCTTTCCTCACAGCCACTTGTGAACAGGCTGCCATAGTGAAATGGCAGATCCAAGAGTGGAGCTTGGAGTTGGAGAAGTGGTCCAGTGGTTAGAGCTCTCGCTACTCTTCCAGAGGACCCAGGTTCAATTCCTAGTGCCACTATTGTGTCTTACTATAGTCTGTGACTCCAATTCCAGGGGATCTGATGCCCTTTACTGGCGTTCAAGGGTACTGCATACATGGGCACATACACACAAAACACCAAAATAATAAATAATGTTAGAAACAGATCCAGGGCTGAACCCTGGTTACCGGCAGAAGGCCTCAGGTCAGACAGAAACTCAGCCTGTTTCCTGTGACTGTGAAGCTTCCCATATCCAAAGAGAGGGAGGCAGAGGAGAAGCCTTTCCAGACACAGCTCCCACCTCCTGGGCGGGTCAGGAATTATGGGGCTTGTACTCTAGTATACAATATACGGAGGGATGAGATTCAACCAGCTGAGACCCAGGGACAGAGAGGAGAGGGAGATGAAGAGGAGAGAAGAAATGAGAGACAGAGAGGAGAGAAAGGAGAGGAAAGAGAGAGGAGGGAGAGATGAGGGAAGAGAAAGAGGTAGGGGGTGAGAGGAAAGTGGCAGAAGCTAGGGATGTGGGAGAAGCTGGGGATGTGGGAGAAGTGGGAGAAGCTGGGGATGTGGGAGAAGCTGGGGATGTGGGAGAAGTGGGAGAAGTGGGGGATGTGGGAGAAGCTGGGGATGTGGGAAAAGCTGGGGATGTGGGAGAAGTGGGGGATGGGAGAGGTGGGGAGGGGTAGAACGTGGGAGAAGATGGGAAGTGGGCATCTGTGTATCTGAATGATGAATCTAGGGATAAAAGACACTCAACAGAAACCCTGAAACCACAGACAGAGCACTGTCATTGCTGTGCTGTAGCTGGGCAGTCTTCACCCACCAGGCACCAGGGGTTAAGAGGAAAGTGACCTCTCACAGAAAATCTTTAGATTGACAAGACAGTTGACATTTCCAGTTCTTCACACGAGGTGGATTTTGCTCATAGACTGTTGGTTGGTTATAGACAGGGAATGGCAGCTAGTCTTCAGACGTTTATTCCTAGGGTGGTCACTTTGCCATTAAGTATCTTTGCTACTCAGGGAAGGGATCTGGGTCCGGCCTACAACAGTTTGTGAATACCACTGACAGCTGCTACATATAACAACATGCGGGTTCATGTTCTGCTGTACATATGTGCTTACTAGGTAAGGGACAGACCCCAGAGTATGGGGCTCCAAGGCCCTTGGCTTCTGTTTTCATGGTCACAGCCATGGCCTGAGAGCTTAGAAAAGTAACTGAGCTAATTTCAACCTCTTCATTTCATGAGACTATGTAAGACGTCGGTGTGAGTTCTAGCCCCTAAGGAAGAGGCAGAACATTCTAGAATAAGCAGGAAGAACATATAGGTACAACTGAACCACAATGTCATCCTAAGATGTATCAAGATATCAGAGATCCTTTCACACACACACACATGTGCACACATACACACACACACACACTTACAGGAGGAGGGGCTCAACGGCCATGTGATAGCTAGCAAAACCCCCAAACAGCACTTGTGAAACCTACTTGGAGCCAGGGAGTGGTTGTGTATACCTATAATCTCAGCATTTAGAAGCAGAGGCAGGAGGATCAAGTATTCAAGACCATTCTTGGCTGTATAAGGAGTTGGGGACCAGCCTGGGCTCCATGAGGTATTGTCTCAAAACAAAGCAAACAAACAAACAAACCAATACACCAGCACCAACAACAAGAAAAACATTACTTGTTCCATCCAGTCCATCCATGCTCCTCCAGCTGGGCAGAGCAGACTCCTCCAGCAGACGCTGGGCACGGTCCTTGGGCTGCCTTGGTGCAGCCTCTGCTGAACTGGTCTTCAGAGTGTCTTCAGTAGTAAAGGAGAATGCAGACTGAGACCTCTGTGGAAAGAGGGAGGTACGAGCTTAAAGCACAGCCCCAGGCTGAAGGTCTTTGGCTCAGGAGTGAACATAGCCCCATAAGCAGAGGACGCTCCGCAGTGAGGCTGTTTTCCTCAGCAAGGCTCAGGAGCTCAGCACAGGAGGTGTTTGTTTTGAACACTGGTAGGCTTAGGAGGAAAAGGACATTGACTTAGCTATGAAGAGCAGCCACGAGAACAGGTAACAGATCCTTGAGCACAGCATCTTCCTGCCTGGTTGCCATGTCACCCACTCTCCCGCCCCAGGGACAAGGGCTCTTTTTGCCTCTCCTACCACAGGAGAGAGCCGAGGAGACGCAGAGCCTCTCTCAGAGATATGTGAGCAAGTGTGACAGGATCTGAAGCTGAACGCAGGAATCATCCTCCCGGGGCTGGAATTTCTGCCACAGCCTTGGGCCCGTAATCTGGAATCTTCCTCTTACTATGTGCTCACAGTATATTTCAGGGTACGTGACAGTTGGGGAGAGGGCTCGGTCAGAGAAGTGCTTGCTTTGTATGAAAAAACCATGTCACACACCCAGAATCCACTTAAAAGCCAGGTGTGGCCAAGTGTGGTGGTATGCATCTTTTATTCTAGTACTGGGAGGCAGAGATACCAGGTCCCTGGGGCTTGCTGGCCAGCGAATCTAGTTCACCTGGTGAGCAGCAGGCTAGTAAAGGAGTCTGTCTCAAAACATACAATGTGGACAACTTCTGAGGCATGACACCCGAGTCCTTTGCACACAACCTGCACACACTCATGCATCTAAACACACTCACATGCATGTCCACGCACATGAGTGTTTAGAACAGAACAGAACAGACAGCAAAACTCAGCAAGGCGTGCTGGGGTAACAGCTGCTGTACATGGCTGGGTTTTGGGAAGGGGTGCCGTTCTCAGTAAGCTTAGCTTCAAAGGACTCTTAGCCTGGGAAAAGGCTCCACACCCAGCATGTTCAGGTGCTCTCAGCACTGCTGGGAATGTGGCACAAACTATTGTGGGCTTAGGGTCACAGGAAACGGCTAATACTCTCCCGGAAGACCTGGGGGGCCATGTAAGAAGATGGGCTTGAAAGTGGGAGATGGGGTAACAGAAAAAGACATCCCATGCAGCAAGGTCCTCCTTGTAGGAGAGTTAAACAGGTACACGCTGAGGTATGCAACCTCACTTCGTCCCCAGGACACAAGAGCTGCCGTCTGTGTGTCTAGAATCCGGAATGGTTTTGATGATGTTGCTCAACAATATAGGGTGGGGGTGGGGAGTCATCTGTGATTTTGCTAAATTCTCAACAGGAAGAAAGAGGCCCCAGTCATTGCAATGAGAACTGCTTCCAGCAGGTGGCATTGCAGCAATGTCTTTACTCAGCCATCTTTGGGGTCTTTGTGTGCCTACCAGCAAGTGTTGGGGTCACTTCAGTATTCTGCTTTCTCACTATTTTGACTCATTCTTTCCCACCCGTGGCCTCTGCTTTTTTTCTTTCAGGTTTTACCCATACAAGCATCTGAGGGAGATGCAAGGGTGGGCACAATTGGGGGACCTAGGTTAGAGAGAGCGCGTAGGGCCTGGGAGGCCTGAGCCCACAGCTCCTGGATGTTCATGTCAGCGAGACCTAAGGTGAGACCTGGACGATGACAGACCTGAAGGAGTCCTGCCCTTTTACTATGTAGGCAATAGCTAACCAGGGGTCACAGTCAGCTCCTCCTGCATCGGGACCTTCGGGAATTTTAACTATTCAAAGGCTCTGTTTCCTCAACGCAAAGGTTTCAGCTCTGCACTGGTGTGAGCGAGTAGAGCCTCTGTGCACTGGGCAAGATTGCTCTTGCCTTGATCGTGCAAAGACCTGAGTTTGATTCTTGGAAGCCACTTTTAAAAGTTGGACATAGCAGGGCACACTCATAATCCCAGCGTTGGTAAGGTGGAAACAGAGAGTCCCTGGGGATTGGCAGCTGGCTTAGCTGAATTGGTGAATTCCAGATCAGAGAGAGAAAACCCCATCTCAAAAAATCAAGGTTGACTGTGCTCGACACCTGAAATTGACCTCTGGCCTCTACACACACACCTGCACACAGGTACACACACATTCACACCTGCATACCTACACACAGGTACACACATATTAACACCTGCACACAGGCACACACACATATGCACACCTACACACAGGTACACACACATATGCACACTTACGCACAGGTATACACATATTAACACCTACACACAGGTACACACACATATGCACACTTATGCACAGGTACACACATATTAACACCTACACACAGGTACACACACATTCACACCTGCACACAGATACAAACACATGTACACTTGCACACAGGCACACACATACATGCATACCTACACACAAGTGCACACACATGTAAACCTTCACACAGGTATACACACATTCACACCTGCACACATATACAAACACATGTACACTTGCACACAGGCACACACACATTCAAGCCAGCATACCGACACACACACCTGCACACAGGTACACATACATGTATACTTGCACACAGATACATAGACACGCACACCTGTCTACACACACGGCCTATGGACATCTTCACAGTCTTTAAATTGGTCTCAACGTAAAAGTCTCCAGCAGCCTGCACTTTCTCTCAGAGTCTCACTCTCCCTTGTACTCTACCTGCTCCTCTTGCACACTCCTGGACCTCCTCTAGGACCCGGAGAGCACACTCAACTGCAGATGGCATAAGGCGCATTCCCCCTTTCTGTGGGAGAATAGCTCTGAGTCACAGGTGTGCAGGATCTGTGTGGGGTGGCAGTGCTGTGTGACTTACCCAGAGGGCGGCGCGTGCTTTGTGTCGTCCTGGAGGGGCCATGGTCCCCTCACCCCTGGCCTTTACACTGCCACTCTGGGGGCGTGGCCACTCTGGCTCCTCCTCTTCGGCTCGCAGCTCAACCTTATCCTTCTGCTTTCTTATAATCTGGGGAAATGGAGGACAAGATCACCTTCGGGATGTTTCTCCAGCCACCCAGAAGCTTAGTCAGCTCCAACATTTCAGCTCCACCTTGTGTTGGAACGGCACACAGTCTCAATGACCTACAGCTGCTGTCTGACAAATACAGCCACCCCCTCGACCTGCAGGGGACTGGCTCTGGGAATCAGCCTCCCTCACTAAAGTGCTTGCTGTGTTTGAGCCCCAGAACCCTTGTAAAAACGGTGGGCACAGTGGTTCACGGATATAATTGAGGCTCACTGGCCAGCCAACTTAGCCTAATCAGTGGGTCCCAGGTCCCAGTGAGAGACTGTATATCAAAAATCAAAACGGATGGAACTTGAGGAACGATACCTGAGGTAGATTTAACATGGTGTGCTTGCTTAGAGGAACTATACATCTCTCAATCCGTGTCAGATCGTCTTCAAGTCACTCACGGTCACTGACGTGACACGAGTTATTAAAATAGCTGCTGTTTGGGGAACGATACTGAATAACAAGTCTACAGATTAAGTAAAGATGCAGCTGTCACAGGTGTAACCATGTCGGTACACGAAGAGGAACCAGGAGATGATGTGCAAATGACAGGTGTAGGAAGGGACTTGGGCTTTGGGACAGCGGAAGACTACAGTGGCTAAGCTCAAGTGCTTTTCTGTCCATGTGGACTTAGCCCACTGCTTGGCACAGGAAGTTCAAGCTGTCCTTAGTGGAACCTTCTGGAAATCCTCTTCCCACATATACTGGCTCCTTGGTTTTGGAGGCTGGAGTGTGTAGGCTTTCTGATAGCCACAGCTTTTCACCCCGCATTAGACTCCATGCTGGGGACTACGGATACCCTGGATCTGCTATTCCTCGGGGTAATTCTGAGCAATGCTCACTGCCATTCTCCCCATCTGACAGCTGAGAACACTGTCCAGAGACAGTTGTGCATTAGCTAGAGCTGCATAGAACATAGGCCCTGGAATCTCTGGATATAGGTCTTGAGGAAGTATCTAGAAGCCTTGGGGAGTGGCCGATCCCCAGGTCCCTTTTGCCATCAGCTGTGCTGGTAGAGCCATGTGCAGTGAGCGATCCTGTTGGAAGAGATTCTTCCAGTCCCCTACCTTCTACAGATGAGACAGCTGAGAAAAGGGCAAGCTGTCAAGACAGAATTCTTCAGTAAGTATTTGTTTACATGTTTGTGTGTTCATACAACTGGGGAGGCCAGAAGTCAACCTTGGGTGTCTTCCTCAGTCTTCCTCCATTTTTTATTTCAGATAGGGTCTTATATTGAGGCTGGATTTTGCTGACTTGGGGCCAGGCTGGCCAGTCAGTGAAGCCCAGGGACCCACATCCCCTGGGATGGAAAGCAGAAGGCACTCAGCATCCACAGCAAACATTTGATCAAGCTGAGGGATCTCCCAGCCCTCAGTGGGCTTTTAGACCACAGAGCCACAAGGAAAGGGCATTTAAGAACGAAGGTGCCTGCCAAGGCATGGACGTTGGCCCGATCAAGGCACTGCCACCATTTCAGGGCAGGTATTTGCCTTCTGGTTTTTGGAATTGTTGGGGACAGCTGGCAGACTGGATTCTCCTCCCTTCTGCAGGGTAGCCTGTGCTATGTCCTTTCTTCTAACACCCTACACTGGGCTCAAGGGCATGTGGCCCTATGGATATCTCTTGACCCATGATTGGATGAGACTTCTGGGCATCCTCAGGACTGAGGAGTGTCCTTGCTGTGTGAATAAGGCTGTCGCTGTGACTGAAAATGAAGGCTGAAGTTTCACAGGACACCTTCCTGACAGCCCTTTGTCAGGTGCCTCTCTGGGTCATCGCGTTCATGGGACATACACCCTCCCCCATCCTTTGCCCTTGAGTCCTGCCAAGCCAGTGCCTTTGAGGAGAGAGAGGACAACAGACAGAATGGAGCCTGTGGCTTTACTTATGCCCCCTTAACTTATCATAGCATGAGCAAATGGGCCCATTCTATGAGTCTCCTCTCCAGCTCCCCAGAGGCCCTGGGCTGGTCTGAATCGTCCTACCCTCTGCAGGATGGTGCCAGCCAGCTCCTCAGCCAGCTCTTGCTTGTGGTCCCGCAGGTAGCTGGCCTCGTTCTGTTTGTCCTGTGGAAGGAAGAGAATTAAGGGGCATGGGGCTCCTTGTCACAGGGGTCCCGGCAACAGTAAAGAGGGGTTACACACAGCTTTACTCAAAGATGCAGTGACATGACCCCCAACCATCAGCATTCACTCTTGATAGCCAGGATGTTCCCACCTTGTCGCCTTCCCCCACACAGAAGGAGGTCCTACCAGGCTGTCCCCATGGGACTCTGCTTTGGAAATGGCCTCCTCTATGGCTTCTTCTGCCACACGTAGGGCCACAGCCAAGGTGTCCATCATGCTGTGCCCTAGGAAGGGACAGAACACGGGACAGGTCACAACTGCCCCATGGGTTATGTATCTGCTTTCAATCCTTGGGGTTCCGGGACAGGCTCCAGCTGCTCAGGAGAGGACATGAGCCCACTGTCCTCCTTACCGACCTCGACCTCACTACTACCTCCTGCCATCCCTTGCATCCTACGCCATGGTTCTCTGAGCCTTCTCTCCTCCCTTCTCTGCCTTCCGGTTTCCCACTGAGTAACCAAGGTGGTTCCAGGGGACAGTCAGACAATAACGTTTCTCTGTCCACGTCCTTAGGCAGCATAGGCCCCATCTTGTACACTCTACCCCTGTGATGACACGGATAAAAATGGTTAAATGTCTGTGATCCTGGCTTAAAGCACACACTGAGTCCATAGACCGGCATCTGAGCACGTCTCAGTAGGAAATATTCTGGGACTCGGCTGGGAGTTCACAGCGGTAACCAACACGATAGCCCAGTGTGGTGCCGTGTGCTCACACTCCACAGACGGATCTGTGAATCTGACTGGCTAGGTAATTTCACAAACAGCAGAGCATTCCATACTGCTGAGAAAATCCTTCAGTAAAATGAAGGCAAACCCACGTGACCTTTTAAACTGGACTATACGTACACACTGCTACACTCTGCTCTTTACTTGGGTGAGAGAGACTGAACTCAGAAACCCACACTTGTGTGGTGAGTACTTGCCAACTGAGCCTGCATCAGTCATGTCGGTGGACATGTTATTCTATGTGGGAACAGTCTCTTCTCCGCACCCCCACCGCGTCAGAGTCTTGCTGTATTGGTTATGCTGGCTTTGAACTCGTAATCCTCATGCTGCAACCCTGGGCTGGGATCCCAGAGATGTACAACAGCATGCTCACTGACTGTCTCAGAGTTCACGTGACATCAGCCACAGGATCCTGGGTCTGAAAGGGATGGTGCCTGTGTCTCTCTTTCTCAATTTTAATGTATTGTTGCCATTTATAAGCTAGCCTTGTGCTAGCATATGCCAGTCTCCCGCGAGCTGCTAAAAATGATTTGTGAAATGAGACAAGGTATGAATGCACTGACTCCTTCATCACACACGAGCCAAGTTGTTAGACTCCTGGACACGCCAGTGTGGCCAGAATGAGGGATTTGGAAAATACAGTGAATTCTCTAAAACAAACCCAGCTAAGGTCAAGGCAACTCAGGGAGAGGATGTATGTGTTACAAGGTCTGTTTGACTGAACACGTTTAATGTAAGCTTTAATAAGACGAGCCCATGAGGAGAACACATACAGTGCAAGCTGAAACCGCACGAAGGGCTCCCTGGAGATGGCCGTTTCTCTCCCAACTGGCTTCTCCATGATACTCATCAATATATTAAGCTTATTCTAATTAAAATGATAATGTATGTATGTGTATCTGTCTGTGTGTGTGCATATGTATGTATGTACATATATGTATGTGTATATCTGTATGTGTTTATATGTGTATGTATGTGTCTGTCTGTATGTGTGTATGTGTTATGTGTCTCTGTGTATGTATGTGTATATGTGTGTGTGTCTGTGTCTGTGCATGTGTATGTATGTGTGTATGTGTCTCTGTGTGTGTCTCTGTGCATGTGTATGTATGTATACATGTGTGTATAATGTATGCATGTATGTGTGTCTCCGTGTGTATGTTTGTATGTGTATGTATGTATATGTATGTGATGTGTGTGTATTTATGTGTGTATATGTGTATGTATGTGTGTATGTGTGTGTATGTGATGTGTACATATTTATGTGTGTATGTGTGTTGTATCTGTGTATGTATATATATGTATATGTGTATGTGATATGTGTGTATTTATGTGTGCATGTGTATATGTATAGATATAATGTGTGTATGTCTGTGTTTCTGTGTATATGTTGTGTGTATGTATATATTATGTGTTTGTGTGTGTGTGTATATGTATGTACATGTGTATATATGTATATGTGTATATGTGATGTGTGTGTATCTGAGTATATTTATGTGTGTATGTGTGTATAGTGTGTTTGTATGTGTGTGTACATGTGTGTGTGTGCATGCTATAGCATATGTGTAGCAGTTAGAGGACAACTTGTGAGAGTCAGTTTTCTTCTTCTACCATTGGTCCGAGGGATTGAACTCAGATCATTAGGCTTGGCTGCAGGCATCTTCAGAGCTATCTCACCAATCCTGATGTGTTTTATAACAAGTATATATTAATTGTACAAAACACTAGGTTTTGTGGTGACATGTATACAATGTACTTTAACCATATCTTACCCACAAATGCATTTTCATGTAACAGGCTGCACACTCTCAGCAAACATGAGTGGGTAACTCCACTGATGTAGGGTCTAGGCTAGTCTGGTAGTCTCTGGTAGTCCTGATAGATAGGCTGAGTCCATGAACTCAGTCATTTTCCAAATAGTGGCCAGGCTAGGCATCAACCGGGCATGTGTGTGTGCCGGGGATAGTTACCAAGTCCCAGAAAGGGTTCTGATGCTGTTCTGTAATTCCTAGATGAGGGTGTTGGCATGTAATGAATGTTAGTAAATTATGGGAATAGTTTCACGGAGGAAGCGCAGGTTCCTGTCTTGATGACTGTCTTCCAATTCTAGAGCTCTCACTGGCCCGTCACAGCATGGTTATGATCCCAGCTAGCCAATGTCGGTCTTTGAGCCCTCCCACTTCTCAGCAGCTGTCAGTCAAGCAACCTTACCTTCCGACTGCCTGTAGAATGTGGAGTCACTTCCTGAAATACTCCCTTCATTCTCCAGGTTTGGTTCAAACAATCCTCCTCCTAGCGGAGAGAGGAACACAGTCATGAGAGGTCTCTGATGACACGGATGGACTTGAGCCACTGAGCTGGTGGGTCAGTCACACTGATGACACCTGCCTTGCAAATGGGTTGATGTTGCAATGATTCAGTATTTGACCTGTTGTTTTTCTCTCTGCACAATGGTTTTTAGTGCAACTGTGATGGTTTGTATATGCTTGGTCCAAGGAGTGGCACTACTAAGAGGTGTGGGCTTGTTGTAGCAGGTGTGCCACTGTGGGCGTGGGCTTAAGACCCTCCTCCTAGCTGCCTGGAAGTCAGTCTTCCACTAGCAGCTTGCAGATGAAGATGTAGAACTTTCAGCTCCCCCTGCACCATGCCAGCCTGGATGCTGCCATGTTCCTGCCTTGATGATAATGGACTGAACCTCTGAACCTGTAAGCCTGCCCTGATTACATGTTGTCCTTATAAGAGTTGCCTTGGTCGTGGTGTCTGTTCACAGCAGTAAAACCCTAAGACAGCAAGTGTACCCCTACTTTCTTCCAGTACCTTCTGCTATGGCTCGAGTATATTTTTTTTCCAAACTCATGATGCACTTTAATCCTCAATGTGATGATTTTGGCAGCGGGCCTTAACAATCGGTGACTAGACCAGGAGAACCCAACCCTAATCAGTGGATTAGTATTATCCTGGAAGTGTAGTCATTCAAGAGTGGGCCTATTAGGAATGACTCTTCTTCCTCTCTTGGTGTTTCATGTGTGACCTGCCTTTCTATCTCCTGCTCTGGATAACACAGCAAAAGAGTCATTGCCAAAGGGCCGAAGAGCTGGCACGGTAATTAAGAGAGCTTTACTGCTCTTTCAGAGGACCCGAGTTCAGTTCCCAGCACCCACATCAGGAGGCTCACAACCATCTCTAACACCCAGCA